CCTGCCTCAGCTCAGCTCAGCTCCGCTCTGCCAGCTCAGCTCAGCTCAGCTCTGCTCTGCCCGCCCCGCCTCAGCTCAGCTCAGCTCAGCTCCGCCCGCCCCGCCTCAGCTCAGCTCTGCTCTGCCCGCCCTGCCTCAGCTCAGCTCTCAGTACCACAGCTGCACTTGTGTTTTCTGTACAGTAAAACCTTGGCTTGCTGAGTGTAATTCGTTCCGGCAACGTGCTCGTAATCCAAAGCACTCGTCTATCAAAGCAAATTTCCCCATACGAAATAAAATAATGGAAACCCGGTCATTCATTCCACAACCACTTATTCATATAAAAATGATTACAGTAATACAAAATACAGTATAAAGTAAAAATAAAACAAATATCTGTTGACTCACTGAATTCTTTTTCTTTTTGTGCTACATTAACAAGGAACCTATCCAATGACACTTGCTTTTGCCTCCTTTTGAAGGATTTGGCGGAAATGTGGCATTGCATTGTCAAACAGATTTATCATTTGCACTGCTACACCCTTATTCGGGTGGTGCTTTTCCACAAAAATTTGCACAATTTTACACATCTCCCTTATAAAATCTTGCGACGTCGGCCACTTGCATACCTCGATCATGCTTCTCGATGATTTCCTTTTTAACTTCCACCATAATACTTCATTTTTCTTACCGCCTTTCTTTTCAACCTTTATTTTTTCTTCATCGGGGCCATTGTTGCAGTACAGATGTTGACTATATGAGTGAGGCGCAAGAACCATTGGCTCAATTGTGTTGTGACGCTTGCCATACAAAGTGTACATGCTACTCGTATTAGAAGACCTCGCTTGTTTATAAAGTTAAAATTAAAAAAAAAACTTTTTTGCTCATCTTGCAAACCAGGTTACTCGCAATCCAAGGTTTTACTGTACTCTTGTCTGTCAAAGACTAAGTCCTATGCCTAGTCCTGGTCCACAACAGATTGCTAGAGGTTTTATTAACATACAGTACATTAAAACAGGGGTCCCCAACCCCCGGTCCGTGGATCATTTGGTACCGGGCTGCAAAGAAAAAATTTCGTGGTTAAAATTATAGTTATTTTTCTTTCATTAGTCCTAGTTTGAAAAATGACTGTTTCCGCCCTTTCCTCACTACCACACTTGACTCTGGCAGGCCATTTACACATCAGCGACACAAGCTAACCTTAAAAAAAAGAGCCAAAAACAAAATTCACTGGAGAGCTTTTTCATGAAAGAATGAGGAAACGATGGGACAGCAGAAGGGTCACAGACTGACAGCAAAAAGAAAATACCATGATTCCTACCTAAGTTCTGGGTTCATCGCAACAGGTGATACACAAGATCCACACTCGCTATGCATAATTTGTGTTGACCCACTAGCTAATGAAGCCATGAAACCCTCAAAAATGCTTCACCACATTGAGACAAAACACCCTGTGTTAAAAGACAAGCCCTTGGAATTTTTTTTCTAGTTGCAGGGTAACAGGCCCTGGGCTCCCACTGACTCTGCATAATGGTGAGTTGATATTATAGTGTAGAATTATTGTAATTGCCTAATATAAAGTGTAATTGTTGCATTCAGATTACATACTATGAGCTGATAAAGGTTTTTGCCTCTACCTGGTCCATGGAAAAATGTTCATGCATGAAACTGGTCCCTGGTACAAAGAAGGTTGGGGACCACTGCATTAGAAAATGTTGATCACACAGTCCCTACTGTGTGTTGCTATATGCTCAAGAGTAATTATTTCAAAACGCTCACCATTCACTCCGTTTCCAGTTTTATTATGAGCACCTGGGAAATCTGAGTTTTACCTTTATGAAGCTGGCAATGTTTAGATTTTGACACTGTCACAGAGGTGTTGATTCATCTCTGTTCCCAGTTCTTCTTATCTAACACAGTACAGTCTGACTTGTCATAGCAGGAGCAGCACAGATGGAACTAACTGTATTAATGATATCTCTGTTCCATTTAAGTGAGCCAGTAGGCCATGACAATGTGCCAGCACACGCATTACTATGACCCTGACAGTGGGACATCTAACTGAAGCACATCCATGGTTAATGCTATTAGTCACAGATGCGTTTGACAAGTCAAAATATCAATCAGAAGAAAGGTCTATTGGATGGGAATGCATTCAAAGATTTAAACATATTTTGTTTTTCCACCTTCTAATGGACTTTTGCATCCACTGAACATTATGCTAACCAGAGCTAGTATTTAATTTTATCTACTTTATGTTTTTATAGGTTAACCTTTAATCCAAAAAGTAAAAAAATAAATGCCCCAAAACAGTTGCCCAATGTGGCATCACAAAAATCTGAGGTATTCCATTTACAATGTGATGAAATTGGGGAAACCAAGATAAAAGCCACAAAATGTTTGAGATTTTGACTCGATCAAGCTTGGACTGAGGCTGCACCAGTCCTAGGTAACAATTCCAATAAACCTGTTACAAACATTTTGAAATAGTGTTTGTCATGGAAGGAAATGGACAAGTGTTAAGTAATAATGCTCAGTTCCATGTCAGTGGCCCAGCATGCATAATACCAGGACCCTGCAGCCATTATTAATTACACCTTATGCCTACTGGAAGACACACGCTATGACTATTATTTAGGGACCAAGAATTAGTCCAGTAACATGTTACTACAGTGGTTGGTGTGTTTTATGGGGTTTACACAGTCTGATTCGAATAAATAGGGCACCCTGAATGACCCTTTAACTGCCAAAGGGGTGACCACAGGCAGTGTTACACTGACATTCTCAAATTTTGGCTCTAAACCCTGCTTGTTTTCACCACACACAAATGGATGTGCATGATCAGTGAATCAAAAATAGTGTGAGTAGTCCATTGGTTAAGTCAAAGGTTGCTGTCCTACCATTCAACCATGTGAAACCCTGCTTTCTTTCTCTCTTCTCTTTCTTGTTCCCCCTTCTCTCTCATTCGTCTCTCTTGCTCCAGCTACTTCACCTCCTCTGTGGCCTTGTCACAGTCTCTCCTTCCCTCTCTGCCTCACCTCGCCCCCACACTCTCTGCTTCGCTGTCCATTCCTTTCTGTATGTTTTGTCCTTCAGCTCCATCTCAGTGCAGTTCTCTCTGCTCAACACCACTAAAATCCATAACTGGGGAACTACCAGACACAGTCCATCTGCCAGAAATGATGTCTCCCTGACTGATGCCGCCATTCCTCTCTAGCTCCATACACAATAAATCCTTCTCACCTGACTGATGAATTGCTGTGTTGTTGTGCTGGACTGTGAGAGATGGTTTTGTGTGTGATGTTTAGTCTGTTCCAGTGGTGAGGCAGCTGAGCTCCAGTGTTCCAGCTGCTTTGCAATACATGTAAAATGAAGGTGTAACAACATGAAGGGGAGCTACTAGCCTAATTGAAAACCCTGAGATCCAGATTTCCCTGCCCCGCCCAACTGCATCTATGCATAGGCCACCCCCTCGACGCACGCATGGGATACCGGGCATGCCTGAGCAACGCATACAACTTCTTCCGGCGGAGATACCTTGTGAGTTTATTAAGGGGAGCCAGTGGGAGAACCAACCTGCCAGGCATCGTTGCATATGACAGGCTGTGTGCGTGGAAGCGCTGCTGCCATGTCATTCTTGGGTTGTGACCCGATAAGCACAACAAGCTCCGTGGATCATAACCCGAGGCGGAGCCCCTCCTCACCTCCCCTATAGCCGCCCACGCGTCACGCAGAAACAGACACGCTCATAAAAGCATTAAATATTCCATAGCCCGGTGATGCAATAACACCATTAGGGCGGTATGCACTATCATCATCATCGAGCAATGAGCTCAGATACGCAGCCCAGCATCTGTAAACTCCATTTTGTCTTTTGTTTGACACTCCGGGAAACAATAGAAGGAAACCAAGGAGACCTGGTTACCTTACGGAGACGTGGAGGATAAATACGGTAGAAGCACGACCACCTGCTGCCAGTCAGGCCTTACTGAGAAAACGTTGACTTAAGGCGACTCGTGGATCTATCGGGTACACTGGTGGTTTTTAAACGTCACGTCATTAAACGGACTGATTTTAGCAAATTAAAACCAAACTCACGGGTGCGCACTCGGCCTGGCAAAGTTGGCAGCCTACCTACTGTTCAAACCCATCGATTGCAAATAAAACTAGACGGTAAATGTAGGCCACACTACACAAGTAATCGGCACATCCACCACTTAGGTACCACTATGACATGCAGCTACTGATACAGTATATGAATACTAAGACCGAAAGCTCAGAAATCCTTGACAGTCTCGGAGTGACAAGTCTCCCATAACATTTTACCCTTCCCCTCTCCCCCTCTGTCTCCCTACATCGTTGCTTAGGTGCAACATCATCCCGTGACACCATCCACATCCACAGCAGAACCACAACACAAAAGATCGCAGGCTATGCGTAACATGTATTTACCTTTATGTCTGCCTTTCGCTGTCATCGTCACACTGCTTGATGTTTCATCGGAACAAGATGCTCATATCTCACACTCCCTCCCTGCTTTTTCCTCTCTCTATCACACTCTCTGTAGGGTATTATACAGTAACACGAAACCACCGCTAGGAGCGGAGCGCGTAAATGGAGCTCATGCAGCACAGGATGTCGCACAAAAGCTTTGGCTATACATGGAAGAAGAGACATCCCTCAGTTAGAAAATGGGGTAATGCCTCGGTGAGGGGGTGAATTCTAATACAATAACGAGGGAAGACCCTGATTATGCCGTATCATGCTGGATACCCCCACCCCTCTCACTCCATCAACACCTCCCTCCACTAAAAGGTTCAGTGGCACATGCATGGTGACTCGCCAGCCAAATAGGTTTCTTTTATTATAAGGTGCCATAATAGTAAAAAAAAAGGATGGAGTTAAAACAAAACAAAACAAAACAAAACGTGCGGATAAGAGACACTGGTGCAACGACAGGGATGCAAACAGAACAAAACAATGAGTTACAGCAGAATTACTGGCACAGAGGAAGCTCTCACTGGCCGTGCAGGATTTGGCATGCCTACATTTGATCACCCGGTCGGCGGGACTTGCGTTGCAGTCGGACATCCTGGATTCGGGACGGGAACGGAGCCGAGGGGGTGGGGGGGCTCTCTCTTCTGTCAAGGGCCGAGATTGTGGCGTCGGGTCCTCCGGCAGGCGTCGAGAATATGCGAGGTTGCTGGGCGCTTTTCTTGCTGCAGTAGTGGCATCACTCGGTGGAGTCTCCGCGCTCTCTCGGACGGGGGAAGCCTGCTGCTGCGCCTGCGGTGACTTTGGGGGAGGATAGGCGGATACCTAGCTGCTGTTGTGGCATGCTTGGATCCAGAATTTGTTTTTAGAGAGGAAGGGGGAGCGGGAGTGTGGGGGTGCTGGTGTAGCGGTCGTGGTGAAGTAGGTGGGTGGGGGTAGACACTGGAGGTTAAGAGGATGAAGAGACGCCTTGGAGAGAGAACAGACGCGCAGGCTCTACCTCTCCAGGACGCCTCTGTAAGCGGTGCTGTGCAGCTGGCAACACCCCGGAATGGCGAAAGAAGGAACTCCCACGCAGATTCACGCACATGCGAGAACGCACACATAACATACACACGTACATACACACTCAGACTCATACTGCCATCCTGTGGAGGCATTGATTACAGGGCTTTCCCTCTTAAGAACAATTCTGTGAAGTGTGTGTTTGTGCTTGGGAGCTTACACCCTGTCACTGTACAGTGGGCCATCTGACGGAAGATCACGTGGGCCTATAGGATGGTGTTTTTATAAGATAAAATGTGGAATAAATAAAAGGTAGAAGTTGGCCAATTGCCTCTTGGGTGGGCTGGACAAATCTATGTGATGGAATGGGCACAAAATGTGTTTTTAGTCTAATGTTATAACTGAACAGAAACACAAATGGATGTTGTTTCCCAAAAGACATACAAAATATCAACAAAACTAACCATGTTGAGAGGCATTATTGCTCAGTACACCAGAAAACAAAATAGTTTAATGAATAAGTACTGGGGTAAAAGTTTCACACTGACCAGAAAGCCACCTCTAGAAAAGGACTTAAAGGTCAGTTGAGATTGTCAGTTTCACACTGTCAGACTGACAGACATCAGTCTAAAGCACAAATTTTTAATTTTTGTGTGTATCCTGTCCTTAAGCATTTTTGAGGCTCTGCTTTGAGCCCTTTAAAATATCTGATGACTTCAAATGCTAACTGGACAGCACTCAGAGAACAAACCTCCGTCAAGACAGATCTGTTTCCCCATAATGCCATTCCACCTAAAAGCAATATTTCCATGATGGTTTGACCCTCATAATATGATTCCTTGACAATGAAAACCTAGGCTATCTGGAACATTTGTAATCACATTGATAAATGCCCCATGCAGACTGAAACAACAATGTGTACTTAATGTCCTTCATAGGTACACGCAACTCACACTATTTGGCTGCACAGCGCAACTGCGCAATTTTGCCGCTGTGACCAAGAGCACACCGTGGCCGGGGTCCACAGTGATGGATGGGCTGAAAGCATTTATTGCACCAGTTTTCTCTGGTACTGTTCAGTTATCCTGCAAACAAAAACCTATGCCATCAGAATGATTTGATAACATGTACACTTACCAATTCTACATATAGGGGCTTTAATTCTAACAACACAAATGTTTGCATGCTGGGAGCCTTGCATTTGAATTCCAAATTCCCATAAGCGACTTTCAGGAATTTGGTTAATAGATTTTTAAATATCTTGTGATAATATAAATGTTAGACAAGTATTTGACCACCTCAGTAAAAAGTCAAGAGACCATGTCAAATCAACCAGTGATAGCTCTTCCCCTTTCCCCAAACAATACCTATACATTACCCAGTCACACTTTAGTCATTCACAGTATGCAGTCACCTGACATTAATCATCTTCTGGCTGTGTAAAAGACTTTTTGTATGTCTGTCTTCTATTTTACAAATGTCCAGAAAAAATCATATGACTTATCAGAACTGAATTTTATTAATGTTTTATATCAATATCTAAACACTGCTACAAACCACATTTTCATTTCTAGACCAGAAATTAGCAGGAAAAGCACAAGTGTGATTGATCACATTAATTAAGGCTACAGTCTATTTATATGTGATCATTCCTGAGTCTTAGCTTGGTGCAAGACTGACTGATATACCAACCTGGAACAAAGCCAACTCCACACCTGTGCATTTCCAGCTATAACAATGTTAAATAATTAAAAACAAGATTTTTTTTTGTCTTGTTTAGTTGATTTTTTTAAACCATAGATTATAACAAAAAGGTTGTTATGATTTATAAACATTTATTTTTAAAATATATTGTGTGTGACAGTAATTATATTCAGAATTAGTTTTTCCACATTTTGTCAAAAACAGAAGGCTATAGAAAAAGCAATGTGTCACTGCAAACTATTTAACTGTTCAAATATGTGAAAATGGTCAAGCCTGCAGATCACTGTATGCTGTGGCAGTTTTCTTTAAATGTAGCTAAGCTGGTATAGGAAATATCTGAAAATCTGGTTAAAGCACTGCATACTATGTTATGTTCTTATTGGTATTACTACTACTACTACATGTACATAAATCACGTAAGAACACAGACTACCAGCTCTGGGTGCAATTTGTAACCAGCTAGGCCTTCTTTCTTCTCAGTTGTTAATGCAATGTAGAATTTTTCACAGATTTGGCCTTTTTTAATTTGCTTTCAGCACATATAACACAAACGCAATTATAGAAATGAATGAAAACATTCTTATATCCTTAATTAAATCTTGCACTGTCTTCCATGCTGCTGAAGGGCGGTCTATGAAGTCTATGTTATGGCCTGTTAATAACATTATAGTGGGCCCACTGCTGTCTTGCAAATGCCATTCTGTAAGACAGCTGTAATGAAACTTGTGTCTGCTGTTAAATTAGTTCATTAACCAGGATGTGAAGAGTGGTAGTGCTCTATAGAAATTCTCAGTGATGACAACTGTGTGGATTAAAACTGACATTCATACTTCAATATGTAGGAACTAGATTATTATTATTATGTCTTTTTTTATGAACTTAACTTCTTATATAGGCCTACACTGATGATGAAACACTGCTGCTCTAGCCTCGTACATTTTTGGCCACAGTGTTTATATGAACATGCCTGTGTTTAGACCTACTTATATGAAGTTTATTTGACAGGTTTTCACTGGTGTTGTCAAGGAAATTATCATTCACGTTTTTCTTCTAAAGTTGCAAGTGAGCAGACCACTGCAGTCAGTGCAAACACAAGGTGTTTGCAGCAACTTGTTCACATTTGCATAGGTGTTTTAAAAAGCAGTTCCTTCAATCTTTGTCTTGAGGCCATGATAAGTTGAGGTCATAGGAGGTCGAGATTACTATGATACGCCCATCTTTTTAATGTAACATATTACACATTTACCTGAAACTGCAGGGACCATGCCTCAGCACCACTCAACATGCAGCTGAAAAATATAAAGCATTTTATGCCACAACAACTTAATACCCAAGAATATGCACTCTGAGAAGAGGTCATAAAAATCCATTTTAACTATGTTAATTTACTGAAAATGCAAATAAGATATACAATGAATCATGAATAGCCTGTAGCCAATACTGCAGGTGTAGTTTGCAGGCTACAAATGAACCCTGTGCCCACGACCTCGCGATTGTTGTAATTGTATCACTCTGCGCTGATCAAACCTCTAGTGTAGTTGATCTGTATGACAAACGCCATAAAAAAATTAAGTAGGCTATATGTATATACAACCAACTGATTGGGACATTTGTAACCAAAATCATTCTGCTGCCTGTAAATGTGTAAACGACATGGTGTTAGTAGTATACCATTTTAGCACAGGTACCCAAGAGTTTACCTCATGCAAAAAACGTCCTGGGTGGACATTTTGGCTCCGCCCGGTCCGTGTGAGCATAGCTGTGCCATGGCATGCACGGAGCCACAATGACGCCAATTGCAGCACTACGTCGCCAGCGTGCACTAGGAGCCCGTTCTGTGCGTATGCCGGCGGAGGGCTTTCTAGAGATAGCGCAGTGACAGATGCGCTCCAACAATAAGACTTCCGGTTTGGGTGGCAGGCCTTCAGAATAAAAGGGGAATATTTACTTTTTAAAATGGTTTTAATGAGCATTAAAGTAATTTTCTATTTAGTCGCCACGCTAACTTGATTACACATCATGTATTGGTCTCAGGAAACGGAATTAAAATGTTATAACATGTCGAGACAATTAGACAATAAGTGAATCAAAAGATAATCGGCAATAATTTACATAGTCATTCAAGTCCATTTTCAAAAAAAGTGCCAAACATTCTCTTTTATAGACGAAACAAATTGGAACAATAATGAACAAATGAGACTACTAGTAGTCTTACAGTGCACATAATATTGACTGAAGTAGCATTTTAAAGTAGTTTATGGATAATACATTCTTCTGTGGTTATTAATGCACATGACAGTCAAGAGGAATTGTACAGTGTAACAAATTTTGATGGCTTACATTTTTTTCTCTCCAATTGGTGCAATTTAACGTATAGCGTGAGGATAAATTACAGCCAAATATTATTATTTTGCTTATACAGTATGTGCAGTATTGTGTAAAATTCATAGTCGGTTTAGATGAAAGAAGTTGATGCCTTTATTGTGAAGAGTTGAGGAAGTGTTGTCGAGATGCCTGCTGGTAGAACACAGGCCGCAGTGATTTGGTAGCCGCTGCAGTAGGAAGAAGGATCGCGGTTGTACTCCTTCTATATTTCAGTTTCGTCTTGAAATTCCCTCGGTGGTTCTTTTTCGTAGCGATCATTAAACTGAGCGTACAGCAACGGTGTTCTATGATAACCGAGCCGTAGTATTGCCAACGGACAGTGATTTCAATCGCCATTTTAATCGCACGTTTCCTCTGACAGAAGCGCTAGCACAACAATGGCTCTGAAAAGAATTCACAAGGTAAGGAAGTGAACGTCGAGGCCCAGGACCTCGCACTTTCGTTAGGGATTTGGTTCCAGCGTTGGCCATCTGATGGGTTTATTATACGGAGAATAATTGAAAATGCTGACTAAATAACACGGGCTAGGCTTCATTTGTCAGCTAACGGTCTCTGAATAGCGAGTGACGACAGCGAGAGCAGCAATGCGCCGCTTTTCCGTGTTCACTACTGCTACAAATGGGCCAACTCAGCCGTTGACTTATAGGTAACCGTTAGGTTAGCTGCTCTCTTTTGTGCGACTTAATGCTAGGCTGACTATGTGTTTAATGCTGGGTATAATGATAATGTTTTCGCGTGCCATGGCTGTCGCTAGTTACTGATATCAGTGGTGTGGTAGCGCTTTCTGGCTAACATTCTGTATCCCGGTGGTTGGCTAACTCAGATGGGCGAAAGGATTTTTCTGATCGAGCTAGCGAGCTGCATTAATGATGTCTCTTCAAAGTAAAGTAGCTAACAGTTAATCTTTATCATTATTAGTTCTTCCATACTATAGTCCATATAGCTAACAAGAAATATTAGGGACTTACCGCCTAGCTTGCTTAAATAACGTTAGCCCTTTGATCTGACAGATAACTTGGCTAATGTTGGCGTTGATGTTAGCTTGATTTAAGAGGACAATCGCACTTATTCTGTTAACGTCAAGCGTTTTTCTATGTTTTGCTTTTACTCTTTGTAGTTACCTTCTTGAATTTTCAAATGTTTAAGTAGATTTGCGACAGTCCAGAGATAAAGATGGTTATAACCTATGCTAGCGTATATCTGTTCATTGTTTTGTCCTTAATGGTTTCGTAACGTACAGCCTGTTTGTGTTTATGTAACGTTAGCCATGACATATTATGCATGTTACTGTTTGTGTTTGGCATTATTAATTTTTGTAGGCGACAGAGGACAATAAACAGGGAAGGCTGCTTATAATGTTAGCAGTGTGCTGCTGTGGTACAAACAGGCCCCACGCGTTGTTCGCCTTAGATGTCTTGTTGCTGACAGCAGGTGAGCAGCAGGTCGTTATTATCGGTCGCCGTTTGTTGGATTGAGTTAGCTCAGCGTGTTTTGTCTTGTTCATGGTCATTCCTTCAGTAACGTGAGCCCGGGTCATAATGTGGCTGGCCAGCCATCATAATGTGTCTCTCACCGTTGTCGAACCTAAGCAGCTAGCATTTACGCTAAGCTAATATTTGCACCACAACGTTACACTGGTGTAAAAACAGTTTGACGTATTGTTTTGGTTATAGTAAAAACCTTTGCTGTCCTATCGCCGTGATGTCTGTCTGGCTGTCATGTTACCTCTTGTACCTGGAGAAATGCTATTATGTAACCATCAAAGCTCTTAGTGCTACAGCAGTGTTTGTGTCAGTAGGAAATTATTTTTGAGTTGTTACCATTGCACTGAGACTTTGTAGCAGTAGCAGAGCTGTTTACAGGAGGTGTTTTAATTTAATACAGCGGGCTTATAGAGGGTATGTTGAGTGATGAGGGTTAAGGGTATTGCTTGTGGAAATGTTTGAAATGTTGGCCCCTACTGCAGGATCTGATCAATTGAGTTATTTGTTTGTTTCAGGAGTTGAACGACTTGGCACGGGACCCACCAGCCCAGTGTTCTGCGGGACCAGTAGGAGATGACAGTAAGTTAACATCATAATCAACACTGTCCTGGTAGCAGTGTGTATATGGGGCTCAGAATTGAATGACCTCATTTAAGAAACAAGTTTGTGTCAAAATAATGATAATGGGTGAAAATACTCTCAAATGACACCAAAAGGGTGTGTTTTACTCTGATTTCCCCACAGTCTACATAGGTTTAGTCCTTCAGTTGTAAGACAGATATGAACTGTCTCCAGATCTGATCTCTTAGGTTACATTTTAGGATTATTTTGATGAGTATGGGTTTGGAAAACTGTCCCCAAAATTTTGATTGTCACAAAATATAACAGAAATGCATAAATCTTTTCAAGTCTAAGTAATGGATAATTAAGTGGACACATCAGGTTGGTGCTGTCTTTTGATGTATGAATCAAGTGCACTTAAATATATTAAGCAAGTCCTCAGCTTTTTTTTTTTGTTTGTTTGTTCTTTTTATATAAACAGACCCGGAAAATAACTGGAGTTCCTCTTGTGAAAATAGTGGTCATTTTAAAACCATAGCATCCATGTCACAACTGTATTGTTACATCTCAGTTTTGCTTTTGCTTTGAGGCCAGGGGTGCAGGGAAATCTTGGTTGCCTTGCACTACATCAGGACTGATTTTTATTCATTACCTCTTTCATATTTTTTTTAAATCCTGTAGAGATTGAACCAAAGATTATGCCTAGAAGGCTTTAATGAGCTCCATGTTTTTATTAATTTATCTCATAACATTAAATAAATCAGTATATACTATAAATTAGGGGTGTGCGATATGTGATGTCTACGATAATGTCTTCATTGTTTTAACTATGTGTGAGTTGACATTATCGAGTATGTTGCTTGATTTCCAAAAAAAAAAAAACTAATCAAAAACTAGCTTTGAGTCCACACTTTCACTGTGCCATGTAGCCTAGTAGGATAGACCAAAGTTACCTCATGTGCATGCAGCATGTACGTGGTCACCACACCACAAGTCAAGCTAGCTTAGCTGCCTAAAAATGCATTATTGAAGTTAAAACTGAGTGAACCAAAAATGACAGGAGACAAATTACGGATGCCAGCAGCTGTTAGATTTAATAGCTAGATGTCGATCATTTTCACTGCCATGGAGGTATTTTAACTTTGAAGACACGGATGTTACTCACAAGCCAACTGTCTGAAAACTAAATCGCCTGCCATTAAAGACAGCATGACAACCTGTTTCACATTCTGTGGACTAACTTCCATGCAGAATATGAAAAGCTTCAGGAGACAGCTGTCCATGACGGGCCTAAATACTCAGGTACCAGCTCAAAACACACTCAGTAAACTTTAGCAGAGTCATTCGCTAGAAATGATTTCAATGTTTGAGTATTGTTTTACTTGAACGCTTTGGTTTTAAGTAAATAAATAAAACCTGTTTAATATGCCCTTGCCAGGAGCGAGAGAGTACACGTTCAAGGATGCAAAATATTGTCTGCTTATTGTTATCGACAAAATCCCAGAATAATTTTTTGTCAGTATCGCACACCCCTACTGTAAATATTTCTATGAAAAGAGATTTTACTTTATGTATTTAGTAAAAACAAGACAATGACTATAGTTAGAACTGCTTCAGCAAGCTATCAGATTACAGAATTTGATAACTATCAAATTTATGGCATCTTAAAGAGCACAATTTAAAAATGACTCATTAGCTATGTTTGTTAGTGTGTATTTGCAAAATTATCATTATTGTATTAACAGTAAAACTTCAGTTTGAATGTGGTTACACCATATATTTCAAATACAGAAAGTGAATGAGAAAAGGATGTTGTATTTACAATCTGCCGTGTTTTAGCAGTGTAACGGCTGCTTTATGAAGCCTATGAAATCTGTAGTCTGTTTCTGACTGTCTCAGGCAACCAGCGCTTTAAAACATCCCCTTTAACATCCCAGCCACCTGTGTCCGCTTCAGATATTTTTGTCATTTGCTCATTTCACTGCAGTTTCTAAAACTTTTTCCATCTCCGTAGACAGGTTGCAGCGCACAGAAAATTCAGACACTGTGTGTGTGCGGTGAGGCGGCATAGCAAGAAGGTACCCGGGCTGACAAAGCAGCATGGTGGTTAGCACTGTCGCCTCACTGCAAGAAAGTGCCAGGTTCAACCCGGGGCCTTTCTGTGTGGAGTTTGTTCTCCCTCTGCCTACTTGTGTCCTCTGTGTACTCCAGTGTCCAGACATGCAGCTTAGGTTGATTAGGGCCTCTAAATTGCCCGTAGGAGTGAGTGTGTGGTTGTCTATGTATCAGCTCTTTGATAGACTGGTGACCTGTCAAGGGTCTACCCGGCCTTTCGCCCAATGTCAGCTGTGATTGGCTCCAGTTTCCTGCTACCCTATTCAGGAATAAGTGGTATAATTAATAGATAATAGTTGCAATACTCAAATCCTTGGGGTAAAATGCATTGTAAATATGCACATACTGTATGTAAAATCTTGTTCTTGTTTTCTCTCAAATACTTTAGATTGTCTTGTTGTAGGTATTTTTGAGTAGTTTTTCAGAGATCCTCATGGCTGAAACACAAGTATTTCCCCTATTGTGGGATTAATTATGGGAGTAATATTCTTGTCCTTGATTTCTTGATCTCTTGAATGCTATAGTTTGTCTTGTTCTTAGGTATTTTTGATTTGTTCTCAGGGATTAATTATGGGAGGATCATTCTTGTTCTTGATTGTTTCTCAAATACTATATTCTGTCTGGTTTTAGGTACTTTGGAATTTGTTTCTCAAGATATGTGTGTGGTGTTTGTTCTTATGGTGTTTTGTTGCTGCTCTCTATTGCTGCTGGAACACAGGACTTTCCCCATTGTGGGATCAATAAAGTTCTACCTATCTACCTACCTAAATGAGTGGATGTGTGTGCTGTGTAAGATTGTATTATTGTGTCAGCTTGATCAGGCAACTGTGAATTTGTGGAGTATTTTCTATACTGTTATAAGCAAACCATTGTGGTGAGCTCACTATCATACACCTCTGCTCAGTACAGTAGCCCTATGATGAATACAACCTTTGGGAGTCTTCTCCTGATCTCCTGTTGAGAATGTCAGAGACATCCTCAGCCCACGTACCGGTGCTGCAGCTAATTGTGTTCCATTGAAAGTTGAATCTTTATTTAAAGAGCCCATGGCATGCTTTTCCTAGTTTTTTGACTTATCTACAATGGTGAATTATCACCTTAACCATGACCTAAAGCTCAAAAAATGAGTTGTACATATGTTCTAGTACTTCTATGTAAAAGCAACTTGGTTTACACCAGTCTCACAGGCTCTCGCTGGCAAGACTTTTTTTCTAACAAAATTTCATTATTATGTGATAGAAGAATTTCCTTGAATGGTCATAATCTCCAGGCTGTTGTGCGTTCATGTTCTATTTTCCCTCCTGTGACCAGAGGATGTGGAGAAAAATACAGGGCCTGAGGTTACAGCATGTCTGGGAATGTTCATGTACAGGGACTGCTGTTTTACTTGACCGGTTGGCGAGAGGATTCTAATGATCCATGATGTTATTGTCTGTGCTATGCTACTTGTTGGAATTAATTTTACTACTTTGGTTGTGTGGGGGAAGACTCAACGTCCACCAGTTGTATTTACCAACCTTGGAGCTATTTGAAAGGGAGTGATGTTTCCACGACTCGGTGGGACTTTATCGTAGTGATGTCCAAATGATGTATTGAACCACTTCATCAGTTGTATGAACATCCGTTCATTCATTAAAAGGTTTGTTTCAGTGAGGTCTAGTGGCGAAATAGGAGACAACAAAACAATGTCTGAATTATGTGATGGGTGTAACTAGGCTTTGTGTGAATGATGTAAACACATTCATGTAAAGGTTGATTGATCGGTCGGGTGATTCTATAAACGTATGTAGTTGGGAGAAGGTGTGCTTGGGAAAACACAGGATGTACTAGGATGGTAGGGTGTGCTTATGTAACTAGGGCAGGCTGTTGTTATGTACATGGGATGGAGATTCAAAGATTTTTATTGAGAAACAATATTTTTTCCACTGTTTTTGTACTGAGCCGGTGTCTTTTCTTGCTGACAACTTCTCCACCTTTCGAAAACACACATAGGTTTTGCTTTGCTAGCAAAAACAAATGTGGGTAAACATTTTTGTGCTTGTTGCAGTAGGTCAGAGGATCTTCACATCTTTCCAACGGAGAATATGTCGTGTATATAGTGCTTTTACACACCTAGCAAGGTCTCACATTACGAAGCAGTATCGACTGTTTGAACCAGTCACTTCATTCACTCAGAGGACCGAAGTAGTTACTGCTTCAGACGTCATCGGTCACGTGTCTTTTTCCACACCAAAGCAAGCTTCGAAGCAGTGGTTCAAAAAAAATGCCTCAAGTTTGAATCTTGTATCAGTGTCAGACGGCCACCACTACTTAACCATAGGCTTTTAAAAATATGCACTGCATGTCTGTTAATGCATTTCTTTAGAGAGAATTGTCGTAAGGCTGGAGAAGTTACTATGTGTGCATTATGCCAGTTAAAATATGGAGTTTCTCAATTATTCACTTTATTTAGGAGTGTTACACATCTCTTTTCATCAGTACATATACCATTGTTTACCTATCTATGGAGGAGAAATTCAAATTAATTAATGCCAGCGTGGTTCGTTGTGCTGTGTACTTGCTACACAACACCAGCAGCAGGAGGTGTGCGTGTTCATGAACTATCCTCTTGGTTTTAGTAAGAAGCTTTTTGGTTTTATTATTCTGAAAATAGACTTTTTGGAGTTATGGTGGGTGCAAAGCTAATCTAGAGGTACCCGAGATTAAACATTAAATTGCTGGAAACAAGCAAAATGGCCATGCTTTGGGCTCTTTAAATATCCTCCAGCTTCATCTTTTCATCTTCTTCAGTACTCTATAGGTAGGTATTGGTGTTTTGTGTATACCTGATGTCAGCACAGTTGCCTGTGAAAGGACCCAAAAAGGCTTTTGGCCAATAAAGAAACATTCTGCATGAAGTTTGGATTTTCCTAACAAGTGAAGTAATG